TTGCTTACACTTTATTTGCATTTGCATGCACTGCTTCCCCCTGCCTCCTTCCCACCCCAAAAAAATGTCCTTTATCCCTGACGTATTGGCCAGACCACATAGTATAATTATCTTGTTGAGTCCTGAAGGTGAAGGTCTTTTTCTACTCCATCATAGCACATTTCTACACTGAAGCTTATTTCAGAGATCTTTATTCAACTCTAAGGTATATAAGGCATATAGCACTTGGACTAAATAATATACAGTTCAAAAGTGGTATTTATTGGTTGAAATACTTTCTTGAAAAATATCTGAGGCCTGAGTTCTTGACCCAAAGACAAAATGTGATCTAGTATACATAGTCTGGAATGTAACCAGTCACAAATGTAAAACTGTTCCTATGAAGTCAATTCTTAGTATGAATGCACTTTATTCTTGAGAAATGGCCTGAAAAATGTATTTTATGGTCACATTTTAATTCATTTGTCACTTATGAAAAAGAACTTATGACACTCTTAAGGAAACAAAATTTGAGTTCACTTTCTTGAAAAGCAGGTTGTACATGCCAGGACTTTTATTGTCTTTCACCTCCAAGAAACACCTGCTAAAACTTAGAAGAAAGAAAGAATATTTTTTGAGGTTGAATGACTTTTTTGTGGTGAAGGCCGGTTAACATACAGGAAGTATCACATTGTCTTTGAAGTACTGTCTTTACAAGTACTTTTTCCTTTGATCTACTGAAATGCATGTTTCACTTTTCAGATGACTTAGAAAAATCTTGTTGTTGGCGAACTCTAAAGAAATACTTAGTGCAACTGTGCTCCTAAGAAATATATAAAGGAAAGCAGAAGCAAAAGATATAAAGGAAAGGTGAAGCATGTCATTTTTAACAGCCTGTATTCCAGATCTAAAAAATATTTCAGAAAGAAGTGTTTTCTGATTTAGAGCACAGATATGCAACTCTTCAGGATTTTGAGATTACTGATAAATAAAAGGACAAGTTACCTTAATGCTACCTTTTCCAGTGTTTTATAAATAGTAACAACCCTGCTAAAGACATGCATTCGAACTCATAATGATGCTCACCAGATGTATTTTTGCTGGCCAGAAAAGTAAATGCTAACTCAAAATTTTTTTCTTGCAATAAAGTCAACATGTAAAATAAAACAGACACAAAGAGCACTGAAGAAAAATTGCATAGCAAAGGGGTAAAGCAATTAAAATGTACAACTGAAAATCAAAAAAAAAGTTCTCTGCCTGGTGACTGTAATTAAAGAGGACTGCTTGTCTTACTGAAGCTATAAAATAAAATATTGTCTGCTTAGCAAATAACTTTTAACTTGCAAAAATATGCAGTTCTGAATGCAGATGAAATAATAATTTGGAAGAAATGTAATTTATTCAAATTTCTACCTTTTGTATGCATCTTTCCACGTTCCTGTGTCTTTGAATCACTTTGGAGTGCACTGACAGAAAATTTCCCCAGAATACCCACTGTACCATCTTCTATGCTATGTTTTGTAGCATAAAAGCTACAGTTCAAAAGCTGACTGCAGGGTAATATCAGGACAGACTGCAGGTTTCCCATTTTGTATGCATCTAGTATTTTCACTTTCCTCTAGATAAGGTATAAAGGAACTGTTAACATTTCTGCTCTGAAACTGAAGAAGCAGCTGCAGGATCTCATGCTGCTCTGGCCCTTGGTTATTTGTAGTGCTTTTTTTTTTTTTTTTTTAACCCAAGTTTGGCAAAAGTAGTGGTCTGATTAGTAATATTTCCATGACATTTTATTTTAAAAATTGTGAGGAATGGTTTTTTTCTGCACATTCTGAACTGGCACATCAGAATCTGGCTTTGGAGCTAGTACTGTACAAGGACCCCAAGAACCTAGTGCAATTCTTTTGTGTGGATTTAACTCTACACATCTAGCCAAAGAGTGTCACTCTGATGGCGGTGAGGCTTGGCTTCAAATACTGAAAGAGTACATCATGACCATGCTGAAGCATACATACATGACATAAGTGAGGTTTTATGCCCAGAAAGATTGAACAAAGAAGACTAAAACCTTGCTTTTCATACATGTGCCTTTCCCATGCTGCCACTTCCCAGGTTCCTTTAATGTCCAGGAGTTTGTGCAAATCCAACAACATGTATTAAGACAGTATGAGGCATGGCCTCATGATTGTATAATGTGGTCCCATTTCCAATTTCAATCGTATGACCAAACCTGTGCAGTAGGGTGCTGTCGTGGTTTAAACCCAGTCAGGTAATTCGTTCGCTCACTTCCCCCCCTTTCTTGCCCTCCCCCTGCTCTCGGAGGGACGGAGAGGAGAATCGAAAAGAATGCAACTCCCACGGGTTGAGATAAGAACAGTTTAGTAACTAAGGTATAACACAAATCACTACTGCTACCACCAATGATAATAATGATAAAGGAAATAACAAGGGAAGAGAATACATCATCTCACCACCAGCCGACCGATAACTCGCCCCCCCCCAGCCCGACCAAGCTCCGACCGATACCTCCTCCAACCCTGCAGTCTCCCCAGCCCTTCCGGCTAACTCCCAGTTACCTCCTGGGCATGACGTGCTGTGGTATGGAATACCTCTTTGGTCAGTTTGGGTCAGGTGTCCTGTCTCTGCTTCCTCCTGGCTCCCCCTCCTCCCTGACAGAGCATGAGGCTCACAAAGTCCTTGGCCAAACCAAAACATCCTTGTTATCAGCTCTGTTCCCGAGCTGAAAGTCAAAACACTGCACTACACCAGCTACCAAGGAGGAGAAAAATGACTGCTACTGCTGAACCCAGGACAGGTGCCTAATACTGCAGTCCTTCTGACACAACAACCCTTACTCAGTGTCTTATTGGATGTCTTTTTGAATGTATATACTCAAATTTTGAGTTTATATTAGTATTTAATATTAAAGTTATGATAGGTGTATTTATATTGTTGCTTTTTTATTATTTTTGCTCAAACTCTTTATGTATAAAATTCAGATGTGGAATTGAAGCTGTGAGTTTATTTGAACTTCCAAGAGCAGTTATATGTGGCTGCTTATTTGGAGTTGGAAGTAATGCATTTGAAAGTCTCTTGGCTAAGATTACAACAAATTTTGATTAGTGCATATTATCTTCTCTTCAACTGTCAGGCTAGCAGTAGGCTAAGGCATCATCAGTAAGTACTGTTGGCAACAAGTCAGAATTTGGAAACAACATTTCCAAAAATACTGTGAAGAATTTCTCTCAAAGAAATATATCAATATAAAAGTTTCATCCTTTCTTCATTGGAAGTTTCATTCCATGTTATTGTTTTTTACATTTTTACATTATATATATTTTCCCTTCTGAATTGTTGTATAGCTTACATAATGTTGTCTGAGTGTATGTTTATCAAAAATTTAAAAAATTGAGTATGCTACATTATGTTGCTTCTGAAGATTTAAGTAGTATCTGCTGTTTATGTTTTTCAAATATGCCTAACCAGAGAATGAAATAACCATGCGTATGTTGAAAAGACTACTACTTATGTTATCTTTAATATCTAACTTATCAATGCATAAATTGTTTTATGCATACAAAGGTTGTTCATATAATGAACATTCAGGGTGCCCGCTATGAGTCTACAGTCTATTAGTCTAATAGTCTACAGAGGTAATTCCAAGGAACTCCCTTTTTAAATGTGATAAATTACTTAACCACTTAATGGAGAACAGCTCTGTACTGGTGAGAGAGGGTGGATGGAGTTGCATCAGAATATGCATTTTCTTCTGTGATTCATTACTGGGTAAAATGAGTTGCCCTCAAGTCTTTTTTGGTCTGTGCTACCAGCTGTAATCCAAAATATTTTTGTGGTCTCAGCTCAGTATATTACTCAAAGGAAACTGAATTTTAGCAGAGATTTTGGAAGCTTACCACTTGTGATTGTGGTAATATATAGGAGGGGGTGCAGAAATGGGAATGATTATTTCTTATGGAGCAGTAGTTATCTAGAGAAATAATTTGAAATTTATATATTGATTTTGAAAATTAGGAGACATTCTTTGAAATATTTTTATAAAAGTCAGTTGATCTGCTTTTTCTGCAAAATTAAAATGTGTATGTACTGGTGCATGGTTATGTAGCTACAAGTAATTCTTAGCTCAGATTTTCAAAACCCCTTTTTACATGTATTTTTTTGACGACCACGTTCAGTGACATCTTTCTCTGATACTGCTAAAATTCGTTCTGTCCTACCTTTATGCATGCTGGAGGCTTTTCTTGTCATTTCTAATGAACAAAGGATACTTCTTTCTCTTCTTACTTCTTTAATATTAATTCTTAGAAAGCTTATTTGAAGTCTGGGGCAAACACTCCTACTTTGCACATGAGCTATAGAGGGTATTGCAGGAGAGGGAAGGGGTCATTTTTAAGGTGTCTCAGAATTACTGGTTTAAGGACTGTTACTCACTAAGACAAGATTTAAGAGTGGAAGAATGTTTACTTAAAAACCTGGACTTAAAATACTGAAGTTGTGCCAAAAAAAAACCCAAAACTATCAAAATAAAATTATAATTTGCAACAGATATACTCTTGTTTCTGCAGCATCTCAGCCAGTTTCTGCCTTTTGGAAGAAACTGGAAGAATTTTAGATTACAAGTTTCCTTTGTTCAAGGTAAGCTGCCTTTTTCCTTTCCACCTAGTCTAAACGAAAAGGCCAAGAACAAATAACATCCTAAATAACATTTCTATGGCATCGCAGACTGGAAATTCTTTTTCTTTTTACTAATGAAAACTTAATGTTCCTGTCTTCTGATATATTGGATGTTGTAATACCAGATGTGATGAAGGGGTTTGTTTCCTTCTCTGTCCTCAAAGTTCAATATTTCTAGTATAAGTGTTAATTAGCACAGCTCCTTCCTGAGGTGATACTGTAATTATGAAGTAGCTTAATCCTTTTAATGGAACAGTTTCTAATTTAAGGCTTTTTTCAAAGGGGAAAACTACGGATTTTTGATGTTTTGTTGTCTCTTTCTCTGTCTCTAGCCAGCAAGGACACTAGTTATGACAAGTATGTCTCCTGAGTAAGTATTAAACATTTTGACTCTTTAGTCAGCACACCATTTAAACTTGATGTTGATTATCTTTTTTATGCCTATACAAAATAAGATTTGTTTTTCGGGCTGTGTGTTAAAATATTTTATTTTATTCTGTAGTCTAGCTAGAAACATGTACATACATGTATATGTCACTGATATTTATACTGTACATATATGTTTGTGTTGCTATGGTGCAGACTGAAGTAGTTGTCCCTTAGGTGAGCTCCACAGGGCTTCAGAGCAATAAAACTAAAAGCAGGTTCTTAATTTTTCTGAAGGAATTGTTTTATGTAGTAAAGAGTTCAGACTTTCAGCCCAAGACTTAGCTTTTCTGCCACGAATTTTAATTATTTCTGTTTAAAAAGTCATAATCCGAAACATTAGTTTAAAACGTTTTCTTTCATACAAATAGTTGCTGAATAAATATCAGTTGTAGGCTTTTTAGCCACTTAGTTTCAAAACATTAGAAGCAGCTGCCACTGCATATTTTGGGGGAGAGTTAATAATTTTCTGGCATGCTCTTATCATTCTCTTAAAAGTCTTACAGAGAAAAGAACATCCAACAAAAACACAATTCCATATTTTATACTACACTTGCTTACAGTTTTTCAAATTCTTTTTCAAAACTCAAGATATTTCTACTACCCACAGATCTGGTTTGGGTCTGAAATAATTGCATTTTGACAGTTACATAGATGTAAGTGATCAGAAACAGCACTTAGTGACTATCCTTTTAGAAGTTCTTTGTAAATGGTTGTCAATAGTTGTTAACGAATATACTAATATATGTCAAAAATTTAACATGGAATTAATACTTTTCCTGTATTTAATGTGACTGAATGCTAGTAACACCAAGACTATAAAATGCACTTTGCAAGGCATGTAATATGAGGTTGCTGTGGGGGAGGTAAAGATAATAGTCCAGTTCAGAGTAGTGGAAAACAGAGGCTGTGATCTTCCTAAAAGAAGAAATCGTGGCAGAGCCAGGGAAAAAGTTCTTTTGTTGAAAGAGGTCATTAATATATTATTTCTTTTATGTTGCTTGTATGTTGATTTTTCCCACTATCCAATTACTATTTTATCAAATAAAAATGCCTGGTGATAACAGTTGCTTTTCTTCAGAACTTCTTCGTCAGGATTGTGCTTTTGGCTGTCTACAATTGTAGGCATTCATCAACTTGTAAATAGGTGAAGGGAAAAGGACTGCTTCTGAAGGAACTGCAGAATAGAAAATAGTCTTCCAAAATACAACCCAAGGGCCAAAAGCCAGTTCTGCTACCCAGTAGCTACAGCCTCAAAAGTAGTTCATTACAATTTAAATTTTAAGATGCATGATTTTTGTGGTTTCATGGCATAGGGTTTTGAGATCATATTAAATGCTGCTCACTGATTTACAGCTAGCAACTACCTGTTTTTCGGAATCACAAATTCAGAGAAATTTTGCTATAAATTTGCATCCGTCAGGTTTTGCAGCTAAAGGAAGTATGAACTGGTAAGTTTTCACTGCAATTTGTAAGATATCTTAGATTCAATTCTTGTACTACAGGTCTTTTTCCTCTCATTGTAAGGAATTTTGTGTAGACACAGGAAAAGAACTAAGAGAAGGTCCAGGTATAGCATGGAAATACATCTCCTGAGTATGCAGTTTAAGCAGGGCCATGAGTTGCAGTGTTGCAAAAAGACACGCTTGCAAGGCTATGTCAAATTAAAGCTCATAAAATGAGAATAGTAAATATTCTAGGAACATTCAAAGCAATATCACCAAGGCCAGAATTCACGCTGAAATGAGGGTCAGTGTTTTCATTTTTTTGTTGTCTCTACATAAAATACCGTCTTTTGATTTGAGTGTGAAGTTAATTTGATACACTGTTTTTACTATTCATTTATTTGTTTGAAACATCTTTAAAATAGATTGCTGGATTCTTTGTAAGGATTTTTTTTTTTTCCAGTTTTATTGTGGTTCTGCTAAGTAGTGTTCGTTTTAGCTGGGGTATTTTGGGAATTTTAACTGAGTTACTTTCTGTGGAGGGAAAAGTAGTGAGAATGAAGTAACCCCAGGGAATTCTGGAGGTGCTCTGAGTACACCACATTATGTCAGTGATTAAATTGCTTTGCCCGAGAAGATCACCACTGTCATAGATGTGACTTCAATGCTGTCCTTAGTTGTTATATCTTGTATAGCATGCTGTGGACATTTCCAAGTCAGACGGCAGGAGCAGAAAAGGCATTGGAACTGGGCTTTCAATTATAGATTTTTAATGATCATTTATAATCGTGAGTTATAAAAGTAATTATCAATAAGAACAGTAAATTGTTCTTATGTAGCAGCTTTTCTCTCGTTATACCAAGATCTCACTCTTTTCACAATGATATATTTATGGTCTTCAGTGTAGCTGTGTAGAGAATTCAAGTTAGAATTCCAGTTATAGGTGGCCATTCTGGATTTTATATTTCATTTTATATATTTATTTATAATTGCATTTAAAGATAAGTGATTTCTGAATTGAAACATTGGCTCAGATGTATGGCTAGAACTTTGGGACTTTAAATTTAGACAGCATTTTCCTCAGATGCTGAAAATCTGGTGTTTCCTAATGAAAACTTCTTAGGAGTGCTGTGTCTAAATGTTTACATTTCCTGGTAATACTTTTTTGATAGTACTATAAAAGTAACCAAGAATGAGTCTCTGTTGTACTAGGCATTGTACACAATATGTTAGATAATTCCAGACTCAAAAGCTTCTATTTAAACAGACAAGATAGATGTGGGGGACAGAAAAGCTTTGATGTGCAAGCAGATATGATTGTGTCATGACATAAAAGGGTCTGCTTAGACTCTGGGAAGGCTAATGAATTTACGGCTAGCAAGTGGGTAGAAGCTCAGTAAGAAAAGGATAAGAAATGATTAGTGAGAAAATAAATGAAGTGAGTTTGAGTTGTGTTGTGTGTATATACTTTATAATCCTGCATATCCATACAACATTGTATGTTTTTTTCCCTTCTTTTAGGAAGCAAAATACAGTAATTCAAGTGGTGAATAAACTTGGAGACTTTTTGTTCTCAGATGACGTGTGTGAATCAACAAGTCATGTAGTTACAGGGAGTCCTCGTCGTACCTTGAATGTTATGCTGGGAATTGCTCGTGGGTGTTGGATTGTTTCTTATGAATGGGTAAGAAAATTTTTCTTTTAATTTCATTGCTCAGTAAATTAAACTTATTTTGCATAGCTAAAATATCAAGCATATAGCTAAGTTTGTGTCCATGCTACATACAATGGCACAATGTTCGGATATTCAGACTTACCTAGAGTTAGTTCAGTAAGAGGAAATTTCTCTCTGCGAAGCTCTGTTACTGTGACAGTCTTTCAGTACTTAGTATTACCAAAGTATTCCTGTATTGTGCCTGGCATGTATTTTAGAAATGCCTGAACTCTTATCTCATGGATAGGAAACTCATGTCACATGCACTTTTTTTTCTGACAAATTAAACACTAAACAAATAATTTCTTCTCAATGTTAGATATCTAAGTTCAAATTATTCAATTTGAAAATCTTTATATATATTATTTAATTATCTGTTGTGCTCTGAAATAATCATTGTGTTCAGCACTGGTAAAAATGACGGGGAATTGTTAGATATTTTGCTGCATAGTAGGGAAACTGAAAAATAAAAAAAGATAATAAGGAAAGCTATTTGTAGATGAGCAGTTTGGAGACTTTGTAATTTAAAGAAATGGTTCCCAGACCACCAAATCAAATAATCACTGTATATCCTCAAAATTTCTTGCAGACTACCACGTAAAGTTACCAGACTGTCACTGTAAAGACAAGATAATCATGAATTTCTGTACTGGGTCCAGCTGTGATTGAGTTAATTTTCTTCATCTTACCCTGTATATGTGTGGGTTTAGACTAGTGACCAAAATGATGATGCTAACCCACCAGTATTTTAGCTGTTGTTCAGCAGTACATACACAGCATCAAGGTGTTCTCTGTTTTTCCATCAGCCACCCCTTTGAGAAGGCTGGGGGTACACAGGAAGTTGGGAGGGGACTCACCTGGGACAGCCGACCCCAGCTGACCGAAGAGATTTTTCCATGCCATCTGACATCATGCCTAGCTATAAAACTGGGAGGGGTTTTTCCAAAGCAGCCGTAGCTCATAGGCTGGATGGGCTTCAAGCTGCTGGTGGGAATGATAACTTTTACATCGCTTGGATTTTTTACTTCTTTTTTTCCTTCCCCTTCAATTATTAACTATCTTAATCTTAACCCAAAGTTGTTTGGGTTTGGGTTTTTTTTTCTTACTTTTGCCCATCCGATTCTCCCTATTCTGCTGGGGTGAGGAGTAGTGACAGAGTGCAAGTCTTACCTGTCAGTCCAGGGTTAAGCCACAATTGCCCACTGTTATAATAGTGATTAGCCATTCAATCTGATATTGCAGATGACAGTTTTTCATCTTTCCTTATCTTTTCAGAGCTATAAAACTTACCTGTTGGAATGTATATGGAAATAGCTCTTCATCTTACACATCTTATACTTTAAATTTGTTTCCTTTTTCTTATAAATACTTTAAAAATTAGCTGGTGAGATGAAAAAGAACTGCTGCATTTTTGTTTTCAGGATGTCTGGCACTTACCAGTATGAAGTATGTCCTTCATGGTATACATGTAGTTATCTGAAGAAGTATACTTTGGGGTTTTCAAAAGTTTTTGGTGATTAATTTCCCTTGGAATAAAGGAGTTTGCATCTTTGGTCACCTTAACAATTGAGTAATGTGCCTTTGTAGCAAAAAACCCAATAGCATCCTCAGTTGCATTAAGAGGAACATACTTCAGCAGGGCGTTTGGACAGTCTCTACAGGTGCGTTACAACCTCAACTACTCTATGTGTCTATGAATTAAACATGTTGAAATATCTGTCCCACACTTAGGTTTGTATGGAGTTTTAAGTAACAACATATTTGCTCAAAGTTATTTTCTTATTACAGGGTAGTCAAACATAAAATCTGTATATATCCTTGGGAAAAAGCATCTAATAACTACTAAAATAGCTAAAGATGTAGGTAACTACCACAAAAATACAGTAAGATAGTTTTCTATCTTTGTATATAAGGCATTATTCGGAAATTCGTATTCAGGTAGTTGATGTCTGGTAATTTCATTGCCCATTTTATGCACTGCACTTCTGTGAACCAATCCACAGTGAAAATATCAACACATGCTCTTCATAGTCCCATTGACTAGTAGCAATGCCAATTTTTTTCCTGATGTCTTAAGGTCTACCTCTTAGAATCATCACAGGGTTATCTACAGTCCACATATAATACCAAAAGTTAAATGGAATTGTTCCGAGGATCAATTTGCACCTGTAAATATTACTGGATCAAATGGCGAAGCTATCTTCACCCATTTCATTGAATTGCTATTTGACAAAGTTCTGAAGTTACTAGGAGAACCACATGAGAAGGAACTAGAGGAAAAAAATCAGAAATCAGTTTTCCAAATCACAAGTGGTTCAATTTTACAGTATTTGCTTATCTGTAAATATTGGGTTTGGGTGGTTTTTATTTAGAACTGTGATTACATCTTTCACTGAGACTGGATAAAACTTTGTGCATACATGTCCAATCCCTCAAGTAATTAAGTCATTTATTTCACTCAAAGAAAATATTGCTTTGAACTTTTCAAATATTATTTCTTAATCTGGTTAGATCTATGCATTTTATCCTGTAAGAGCATTATTGCCTTATTTCTAATTGTGTCACTGGCACAATTTTGCCATCTTTTTACCCAAATTCCTTAACCAAATACTTTAAAGAAAAGAATGTGGAAGTGTTACTTAACCATTGTGATGAATCCTGTAGAAAATTAGTCATGAGAATTTAAATTAAGCAAAATATTCTTTTATTAATGCTACAATACTGAATACTTTAAATGCCTTTCTGTGTGGTAGTCAGTCCTACCATAAGTACTTTCATTGGTAAAATTCTTCGAACTAGATAATTAAAGTAATCCAAACAATCCATCAGTCTGGAGAAATCTGTAGTACCTCTTAATCAAGGTATTAATTTTGAGCAGTGTTGATTGTATTGTGGAAGATGTTTGTCAACATTTTAAGAAGCTGAAATATTATTTATCTTTTCATTTGTAACTTGGAGAGATAATTTATACTGCAATGTTTCTTTCTTCCTCTGAGAAAAAATTAAAATTATATTTTCAGAGATGGATGTTGGAGGAATATCAAATTTACTGTAAAACATTTAATCTTCATAGCACTCCATTTCCATATTTTAAGATCAGTTATTCAAGTAAAAATACCGTATGATCATTCAGTGTTCTAGCTGGATGGGTAAGAGGCCTTAAATAAAGGCTAGTCAAACTGTGTTTTCTGACCCTTGAGAACTTTATATTTGACAAATTTTCCTGTATGGTGTGAATAAAAGTACATAGCTGATAGGGATATGGGAAGGAGAGGTCTACACCAAGGCTAGCCTTACAGCTGTATAACCCACAGGACACTTGTTGGAGATCCGTGCCATGAAGGTTGATAGCTACTGAATTAGATAAAATCATGCATACTTGAGTATGAAGTAACAGAAGGTTGATCTCTAGAGCCCCAAGCCAAAGGAAAACGTACTTTAAGGTTGTAAAAATCCCACAGAGAAAATTATGCTTTTCCTACTCTTCTCTTCCCTCCTTATTTTCTGCTTTTTTGGGTCCTCCATGACCAAGACTACGTTCTACTAGAATCTGACGCTTTCTTAATATTGCAATGTTATGAGCTGTATTTTATTAACTTATGATACACCTATATCCAACTTGATCCATACTGTGCCACTTTATCATTATATTTTAAGCTAAATCTCTTGTAACTGCACATTTGAAAACTTCTAGATAGCATTCTTCTCAATATGAACACTTTTATATTCAGAAGTATTTTCTTAGTCCTTTTCCACATTCTAAGGAATAAGAAGATACTGAAGCCTTAGCAAAAATAAGTAGTTTTCTCAAGAGTAATATTGCAAATCATAACTTTGATTTGTCCTACATGAACCTGAAGCATTTTTTTAGTGTTGCTATGAAAATATACTGGTTGAAAATTTGTCTCTGCCAAAGTGAGAAGCAAAATTTCAGTGACTTAGAATGGAGAACTCTTGTCTATACGTTCATGGAAACTGAATGTTCTAGTGAGTGATGACCTAATTATTTACTGTAGGACCTGCTCATGAACTCTGTATCTAATTTTCTTTTCATGTAGGAAAGTATATATGATGCCTTTGAACTCAGTTCCAAAACCATGATAGACAAGCATTAATTCATCTTTTGTTAAGATAAACAAAATAAGTTTCTAAACAAAATTCTGTAAATTATTATAAAAGGATTGATAGAAGTTGTTACCATTAGATTGGCCTGGAAAATTAAATGGGATTACTTAATCATAACTAATCTTTTGGGTTTATGTTTTAATTTGTTAGGGTTGTTTGCAAGTTACTCTTGCTACAAACATCATTTTGTTACTATAAGGACACGATGTGCGCAGCATGGTACATCTGTTCCTGCTCAGGATTATTTACAAAGAAATTATTTCCATGGAGCATGTTTCTAAGAATTGTGTTAGAAGTTACAATTTTCTTGGTTCAGTAAAGTTGATTTATGCTGTGATTAAAAGGCAAATGGCTTGGATAACACAATTCTTTTATTTGCAATATATACAGCTATAAGTATATATAATGCTTTTCTTGACTTATATTTAAGCATGCCAAATGGCAACTACAGGAAAGATGTTGCAAAGCTCAAGTGTCTGTAAGAGGAGAAAGTTGTAGAATTGTGTGACAGTGGACAAATTTGGCAAGGAACTTACCAGTCTTTTACCTGCACGAGAAGCTTTACAGCTTAACTCACACTGATGAAGCCAATGAGGAAAATTAACTCCTCTTCCATCAGTGTGTGCTTCAGAATTTAGACAGTCTAGAAACTAGTAACAAAATGCCCTTTATATGACTCAAGGGCAAAGCCACGGTAGGTACTTTAGTCTTCTTCCATTTTCCCATAAAGACAACATTTCTACCACTTGAAGTGTGGTAGAAGCCACTCTTTGTGTGGTTTTTAATATAGTCTACCAAGTGCAACTTAGAATGATAAATTGTTTTGAAGAATGGTTTAGAAAATCAACCCTAGAAAAATGCTGGATGGACTAGTTTTGGGAAAAATTATTATTAAAAATAATAATAGGATTTTAAAATTTAATGTACCTATACATAGAAGTAGGACTTTAATATTTTAATGGTTTCAGTTGTAAAATGGGCATCTTTCTGATTGCTTGATTTTTCAACAAATCATTTGGTTCAGGTAAATGAAATATCAAACTATTGCAACAGCACTGTTACTTTTAAATACACTGTCAAAGAGTTTGCTGTTTTAGAAATTAGAAGATGTCTACTTACTGCATAATTTTTTTTAGGTTCTGTGGTCTTTGGAATTGGGCCATTGGATCTCAGAGGAACCATATGAGCTTTCATCCAGCTTTCCTGCAGCTCCTGTAAGTTTAATGGTCCTTTAAGCTTGTGAACTTTTTTTTGTATATCTGGAAAAAGATTAGCCATCTAAACAGGCTTTGTGAACAAGAAGGCCTATTATAAAAAAGGTAATTTTTTTAAGGCAAATACTGTAAGGAGTTTGTTTCTCCTCCGTCCACTACTTTTTGAAGTGTGTACAAAAACTTTGGTAGGCATGGAAAATGCAAAAAATTGATCTACCAATTAATTGATTTACCAGTTAATATCTGAATAAGTAGGTTCTTATTTTAGTATAAATGTCCTTTAATTTATTTGTGGTATATTTTATTTATATCTGTGCTTCTATATAAACTGGAGAGGCATGTTATCACCTTACAGAGATTATTCATGTCATGGACTCAGTATTTTCAGTTCAGAAATGACTTCGGCAATGCAAAATAACTGGGCTTCTAACACTACTGTGCACGTAAAATGAAGCATTTTTCCTGCCTTTAGTGATCATTCTCAAGTACTGAATTGTCAGCCAGTACAAAAGTATGTATGTGCAGACCCAAGTGTATCTGCACTCCATGTGCTGTACTTGATTAAATGGTAATTTTATTTTGGTTATAAGCCAACTAAAATTCTAGCAGACTACTAGTCAATCACTCCAATAGTTTTGCCAAAAAAGGTTTCACAATTTCTCTTCTATTATAGCAGCAGCTGAATATTTTATCATCTGCTACTTGTTTCTTGAAGTTTTATATGGGCTTTGAAGAAAGAACATTTGAACTTTTACTATATTTGACTGTATTTTACTATAATTGTATTGACTGTTAAGAACTTATTTTTCTTTCTAAATCTGTTATTTATGCAAATTCACATGTTTGAGATGAACACATTATTTCATGATTTTAAGTTGTATGTTCTGAAAGTGTAGGGAAACTATAAATTATTCTGAAGTAAGTCCAAAGGAATTAATTCTAATGTAGCATTTTTTGTAAGAAGAGAAAATAGATTTTTTAATACATCAAATGCATTAAGAATGTGAAAAATAAATGAGCATGTTCTTTCCCCCCCTTTTCTGTAATCGTATAGAAAAAGAACACAATACTTGACGCTGAGTTTTCTGTTTCCTCTCAGACTACCTTGTTAATAACCAAGTATACTATCAGTAACAGTGTACACAGCATTCTTTGGAAGTGATTCCTGCTGGGGTTGTTTCTTTTTATTACAGTTTTTATTCATAAAGCAGAAGTAAGGAGGGCTCGGCAGATGGTGAGAAGATAAAATTGAGGGAGGTTATGGTTATGCTGAGAACCTAAATTGCTTCTGTTTGCAGTGTGCTCCTCTTCCAGGGGAACAAAGTCTGTGTCGAAGGTGTTATTTCCATCACCTTTCTAATCATCCCCTTCTTGAGTCATTCTGGTTTCTTACTCTAACATATGTCTTATTTTTAAAGATACAATTATTTGAGCATGGATGGTGTTCATGTTCCATTTCTGTTTTCTATTCTCCTATTGTTTATAAGTATTTTTCTGCTTCCTAAGAAGTAATATATGAAAATGGAAGTGCATACTGTTTGTTTACAGGAAGGAATTAGAGGAAAGGGTTATCTTGTGGTTGTGTTTTAATGGCTTGTACCAAGTCCAAAGCAGTTGCAGGCTTCTTTCTCCTATTACTGCATTCATTCTGAAGAGTCCCCACTTTGCTTTGTTGTTTGCAGCTTAGGCCATGCAATATCATTTGGATAAAATATCATTTTAAATTATGTTCACTCTAAAATATTACATCTGTTACATTTAGTCTTGATAAATTACTCTATTTTCCCCCCCAAAAATGAAAATGTCTTATTAAACAATTGATCAATTCAGTGTCTACATCAGTATCTTCAATAACCTTCCCAAAATAGTTATCAAAAGGCCTTAACCTTTGCAAAGGCTTTTTCCCAGCAAATTGAAACTAGCTATTCTTGTCATACCATGTTTTCTTACTAAAATAATGAAGGGTAATGTCAACCAGTTTTAGCACTATTTTCCTTTGCCAGGTTGAGCATTCATACCATGCCAGATTCCGTCATGTGTTTGTTTTGTTTGGTTTACATTATTGGGCTGGATATGCTTAATATCTCAAACACTGGAAGTATTTTGTTGCCTGATTAAATGCAGTAAAGCAGAAAATGCAGTAATCTAGACTCAGCATTTCTATGAAATTTCATAAACATCAAATATTTTAGATTGCAAGGGTCCTATGAAGATTGTCTAGTTCAGTGTTTTGCTTCAAGAGATTTTTCCAGTCCACCCTCATAGTAGTAAATTGATAAATTAAAAAGAAAAAGAAAATCCAATTTCCCCAATTCCAAATTGTTTTTGCTGTTTGTTGTTCCATTGCAGTGCACCTCTAAGAAGGGTCTGGCTCTGTCTTCTCTGTGTCCTTGATCAGGCAGCTGTATACAGTAGTAAAGTTTCCTCTTCTCTTTTCCAAGCTGTAAACCACCAAGTCTCTTGGCCTGTCTTGGTGTGTTGTGTTTCGTCATATGTCTAGCTCCTTTACTAGCTTGGTGGCAATCTGCTAGATTTGGTCTTTCAGTTATGTCTTAGGGATTCATGAAAGTAATTTTGTAACAGTTTTTGTTGTTTCATTTTTGGGGTGGTTTTGTTTTTTGTTTTTTTTTGGGGGGGGGTAGTTTGGGATCCATATATCCTTACAAGTTTGCTAGGAGAAACAATAAAATATTAATTTTAAATACATTGAGATTATTTTATGCAACTCTTCATATGATGACTGTTAATTTACATTTTGTTAGGCTTATTTAAAATCAGATCATGAAGTCATATTAGAAGTTATTGCTACCCTTCAGCAATGCTGACACATATATTGCGTGAAGCAGAACGGTGGTAGTGTGAGTGGTGGATTGCTCTGACAGCAGCTTTAATGACTATCAGTATAAAATGAAGAGTTTTCTTCCATCTTTCCCAAAATCATTTACTGCTTTTAAGATACAATGCCTTTTGTTAAGTAAGCCTCCAGAAATCTTGTGTCTAGGGGTCTTGTTTTGGTGTGATTCAGTGTGACTATTCTATGATTCTGTGATGTGGTTCTAAACTTATAACTAATTCAGTCACCTGCTGAAATCAAAATTTATCGAAATATTATTATAAGGCAAAGACTAAGCATGAGAATTAAAACCTACTTTGGGAAAAATCTCCACAAAATTAGGGAAATATAAAGAAATATCTTCTGAACTGCAATGTACAGTACACAATTATAAAGCATGTTGTAATAGTAAAAAAAAAAAAAAAAAAGTGAAAAAACACCCAGTAGAGTAATTTATTCACATTGTGGTATACATTGAGGGCCTACCTATGGAGAATTCTTAGGGAGAAGTCCTAACATTACTGAAAAAAAAACAACAGTATGACCTTAGATAAATTTCAGGGTGGGTTTTTCCCTGTTTTAGAAATGTAGTAATTTGTTTCTTAAGTCATGAGCATAAATTTAATTGTATCAAATAACATGCATATGTTTTTCAGTTAGGTTATTATTACAAAATGTATAGATGTACTACAGCACCAGGTGATAACTGATTGTCATACACAGTTGGACATCTGGTGTTAATGCCATTGTATTGGTTTATAAAATACTGATAAGTTATTTTACAGTTAAATGACAAAGGAAGGAAAAAAGTGCAATCTTCATAATAATGTAAAGGGTATGCATAAGATGCTGTAATTTGCAGGGATTTTTGCAGCTAGCTAAGATAGTGACTGTAATAAGTACAAATTGAAAAAAAATAGTGATTTTTGTACACAGTATTTCCCAAGAATAAATGCAAAGGAATTAAATGCTACTTTTCCTCTGTTAAATAAAGTAATACAGGCAGGCTATTGGAAAGAGCCCTGAATAAGTATAAGAAGTTCTTTAGGAGGCTATGGGGAGAAAGAATGTATTCTTTAAGTACAGTATTCAGCTAATTACAGGACAGTGGGGTTTTTATGTACATAAAAGGCAAACATGACACAGAGAGATAAATAGTTCTAGATCTAGTTAAGTGTTTTATATTAGAGTAATGTTTAAAGTTCAGTGATGAGCCAAAACGCATATTTCTAAAACTATTTTAGGTATTTTTCACAGTTCCAGTTATTTACTAACAAACACATACATAACATAAATGACCAGTAAAACAGTGTCCTTAAGTTGTCTGATGGTTTCTTGGATGTTCTTTTTATTCAGTTGTTTGGCCAAATCACTGTTATATCAGATTGACACTTTAGACTTTGTGTCTGGTTGAATAATATGAGCTTTAGCTGATCAAGGCTATTGCAATTCAGGAATTGTACTGAACCGATCCCTTCAGAACACTTGCATGTTTTCTGTACTTGAAAATGAGACAAGTTGCAGATGTGTGTTTATATGCTTGGAAAATGAAGTCTTTGAAGGCTATACAATACATAATTCACATAATACAAAAACATTTAGAAATCTGCTGGTCGAATCATCATAGTTGTGGCTTTGAGAGAGTATCCCGAGCCTTTCCAGTAGTACCATTTGATACCATTGAATTTGTTGTTGTTCTGTCGTAATGGATAATACATTCCATTGAGGTTAGAAGGTCCGCATGCATCAAACCACCACCCTGCGAGGTAGAAAACAAATTAAAACATCAGGAGAGGTAATTTTCAAAGCAGTACATAAGGACACTTTGTTGTCCTGAAATGAGAAAGAAATCTAAATGCAGTTTTTTCGTTCTTATGATTTGGAAGTGTCAATATAAAATATTGCCTCAAACTCAGAAATGTATTTATGTACTGATGACATATTCTTGAAGCTTATGTAATAGACTAGTTTAAAATTGAGAAGGGAAGTTGTTCAATCAAGCTTAATTTATTATATATATATAAAATATTATTGTTGAGAGTCTGAGGGCAGAACTCGAACTATAATGGTATTGAGTTATCTGGTTTTTATCTGCTCTTTGGTAAATTCCTGTTCTTCACTGATTTGAACTCATTCTTAATCATTTTGGAGGATTAATTCAGTTATCTGTTTCAGTTCTCTGGGCAGATTATTTAACAACTTGTTAAGAAGGAAACAGAGAAAAAAAGCTGCCCAAACTTATTTTGTATTCTTATGGTCCTGACTTGTTAGTGGTTCATAAGGAAAATTTATTTTTATGAATAAGATAATAACTTTTATACTTCTGTTATGATGGCGATAATGTGTGTGTTCTGTTTTGCAGGGCAGTAATCCAATTAGACTTTTGGATAAACTGAAGCTGTCTTTTGTCTTACAACATGTGCTATAGGGAAATGAACCACTGCTTAAGAGATAACAGGAAGAGAAGTCAGCTTTACAAAGCAGTAGTTTACATTTCAGAATGTGGAATTCTAGGTTGATAAATTACAGAAGCTTCTACAGTTCAAGATAAAAATATCACCTAAAACTCCAATAACTGATGAACAAGCATTAGAAAAAAGCAGATGTGGTGCATCTTGTAATTTTGTAATTATATTGAAAAATGGAATTAAATACTTGTACCCTGCTGTTTTATATACAATATACATCAACTTTTCGGGGCTTTCTTCTCCTCTGGATATTTAGGGAAAGGGTTTGTGTCTAAAAAATTAGGAGCCATTTCACTGATGAATTGTGAACCTCTAAATAGCAGGATGAGGAAGGAGAGACACGGATGGGACTTAAGTATTTTGATCTCTGAATGTTATCTCATTCCTTGGAAGAAGAATGCTGTTCCTTTGACCAGTTCCACAATTACACTTTCTTGTACCCCAACTGTAGAGATTTTTTCCCCCTCCAGTTTTAACTTCTCTTGTTTTGCTTTAACTAACTTTTGTCAAATGATAAAATATTTCATTTGGAGCCACCGTACCAGCATTTCTATCAGTGATTTTGGACTTCTTCAACAGTCACAATTTACTAAATCCAGATTATCACTATTTATCTCATAGACAGTTTCAGTGCCAATAAAAATAGGAAGACCAAGAAACAAAAAAACATTCCTACCTCCTGTTAGCATTTGTGAACATTTGCAAATACATTTGTCATTGTCTGCATCCTTTGTGCTAAAATCATTTCCTGGCTGGCTTATACTACTTATTTTGCCCGCTGTCCCAGTAAGTCCTTTAAGGTAGATCCTGTAAAAATGAAGAATGGAAAAACAATTATTATGTGGAAGTTAATGGTAGTTGATCTGTGACATAATGATGGAATAGTTTGCAATAAATATCTTGTTCAAATAGTTGAGTTCACTTCTGGCCAATGTTCTGTTTTAAGCTGTTTTGCAGCATAATGTTTTCACATGAGCAGGAAGAGTCAGCACAATATTCTAATGAACAGCCTCCACATTTGCAGAAATGAGTGTTTTGTTCATGTCATATTAGATCATGCATTTTTTAACACTGTAAGTACATTACGCAATTATTTTTTTTTAATCAGCTTCAAGGGTTTAGGCCAAAACTTTTTTATTCTTACTTTGCTGTTAGCAAAACATGGCAATTTGGCATTACAAATTTGCATGTGCAGGAGATAATAGCATTACCTGGACTATTAATTACTAACTAGTAACTGGTATTTTTGAGGAGTTCCTCAGTTATTTTGCTTTTCACTTTCCTAATTACTCTTCTTTATTTAATGTTAAATCCTCATGTGTATTTAAGTTTCCTTCAATTCCTGGCAAGGCAAGCTTTCAGTGAGGCTGCTACTGTTTGGATCTGGTTATAAGGTGCAGATGCAGTCTCAGTGGCGAGGGACACACGGCACAGAACTGAGGAGGCAATTACCGTGCTACCTTGAATTATGAGGACTTGAACCCTCTTCTCCCACAGCATCTCCTTGGTGACTGTATTTCTGTGTCAAACAGCTCATCCTTCTCGTCATATTCTGTTTGCTTAAGGAGGAGATCTGACTGAGGAGAATTAATCTGTCCCCACATTAGTCTTTATCTTGCATGTAATTCTCTGCTTATGATAGAATTTGGTTTTAGTGGTTTAACAGATTATTTTCACCCATTTTATATTCTCTATTTGAAAATATTAAGAGTAAATGAATTTTTATTCATTTATATTTCAAAAGATTGCCTCTACAGATTTTCTCAAAAACCTTTTTCAGAAAGTCAAATATCCTGTTTTTTCTTCAGGTAAGGTCAAAATTCTGTAAGGCAGTTTCTAACATCAGTGGTATTAAAGATTCCAATATAACGTATGATTTAGGCTTGATTATCAAATATCAAGTCTAAGGTAAGAAAGGCATTATTCATTTATTGTTATTATTCCATTTTTAAAAGTACTGCTTAGTATAACAAGAAGATGAGAAGCAGCAGATGTAAACTGAAATGAGAGGCTCTGGCCGGATATCAGGAAAACCTTTTTCACAACGAGGAAGGACAAGCAGTGGAGCAGGCTGTGCAATCTCTACCTTTTGAGGTTATAAAGAGCCAACTGAATAAAGCCCTGAGCAACCTCTTCTGACCTCGTATCTTTGAGATCAGGAATTTTGACTCAAAGTCCGTTTTGATCTCAAATGTTCGATGAATCTATGAAACACCAGTTTCATGGCCCAACTAATAATCTTTCCAGCATTCTGAATGTATTAATGCTCTTAATTGAATACTTTCCTAGGGTTTTTTTTTGTTTTTTTTTCATAATGTTAAATATATTTTTTAATCTACCGCATTTTATGATACATTCCATGTTTGGCTGCATGTTAAAATAAAGTATCATTTTTCAGATGACCATCTTAGTTTTCAGTAATTGTTTTTTAATGTTGTAGATGGATGGGGTAATAACCGATTTTGCAAAGGTTGCCTTTATAAGTATTGTAAAGCCTTGCTTTAAAAAAATCTCTGCTGTAGAATCTGACTGTTTCCAGATGAAAAAAAAAAAATATTTGTTTTGGAATTGAGACAACTGTATACTACTAAGGCATTAGATCTAACAATTTGGCAGAGGAGGGGGGATGCTGACAGTTTTGGATTGCATTGCACATAAACTTGAGTTGAAATAGCATCAATTTTCTTAGGTGTCAGACTGACTTTGTTTACAACAAATAGTTGCTAGAAATCTTGGAGAAATTCATCTGAGTTTAGATAGTTTTTCTGTACAGTCACCTAAAGCTCCATGAATCTAAGATTCTTATAAACATTTTATGGGCCATGTCATAAGAAAGCATCTGTTACAGTGTGGAGTCTCTGGTTTCTTCTATAAGCAATCAAACAGCATGTACTACGTTTACAGAGAGCCTGGAGAATGAAGTATGAAATGCCCACATATTTCAGCTGTAGCTGATACTATTTAAAATATATAATACTGCCATAATATTTATGTATATATATTTATTTGAAATTAGTATTATTTCCTATTTTAACAAAATATGTGAGAAGAAATTGAGAAGCTTCATGTTTTACAGAATTATGGGAGTATATACAATAGGTCCATTAAAATCTGGTGTTTAAATTGACAAATTTGTTGAGGGGTGAAAGTATACATATACTGTTAGCTTAATTTTCACAGGTAGGAGAGTTATTCTTTGGCAATTCAAGCCAGTGGGTCATGGAAGTAGAAGGTAACATTAACTCTGTATGCTGTTCATGACAACAGAACAGCTCCTACTAGTCACAGACTTAAGTGGAAAATCTCCTTGCAGTATTATCCACTTTAGTTATCCACCTTCCAGAAATTAACTTACTGCAGGGAACCAGAACACGACAGCACTTGCAGACAGGTTCCTGTTGCACTGAAGAGTCTGCACTGCCATTCATTATTTTGGCACATGTATCCTGTCTTATACCATGCCATCTCATCATCTTTGTACATCTTGTGTGCTACATTCACCCAGTGTGCATTAGAAAAACACACATTCTCTCCATTGAAAAATTTGCTTTAGGCAATAGGTGAAAAATGGAGCAAGAATTTTCCGAGTGAACTGAAAAATCATATTTCATATGAAATACGATCTTGCATCTACACAGTCTAGAATTATTATTAGCTAATTTTTTTAAATTAAGATCTGATTTTTTCTGCTTACCTGTATTTTTGTTCTTCACTTGCTAGAGAGAAGTGGTCATACAATGAATATGCCTCATTCCCTTCCCAGTCTTTCAGGTGGATTTTAAGAACATAACGCTTCTGATTAGTCAGTTGAGAAACAAACTCATTTCCCAGCCAGTACTCCCCAGCAGGATCACCAAATCCCTGTAATTCAAGCAGTATATTTAAATAGCTTTGTGGGTTTTTTTTCTTTGAGTTTGAAATTATCACTTTATCAATTTTTAAGTTTAATAGTTTTCAGTCTGTCAACTAAGAATTTACTGTCTATGGGGGTCATAGATCTGCCATATTTCAAAAAGTTAATTTCAGTGAAGACAAACTCAGGAGTCTGAAATAGTGAATCAATATTACTTAGTAGGGTTGGAGCAGTTTCTACTGTTGCCAGTAGAAACACAAATATAAACAACTCAAAAAATGTGGACATACAAAACAGTTGACTGAAGAATAGTGAAGTTTCTCTTTAAAAAACAAACATCACACTTGCAAGTCTGCTTAGACAAACAACTTGTTCATTTCGAAAATGTTAAAGTAGTATATCTAAGGACAAAGATAACTTTTAGTGCCTGCTTGCATTCTAAGGATGCCATTAATGCAACTTTATTATATTAGATTTCAGATAATGACATGGAGGCTTCAGAAAACATTGTTTACCATCTTGTACTCCTTCCATGTCCGGTGAAAGTCCAGACTGCCATCTTCGCGTCTCTGAATAACAGTCCAACCTCCTCCACTAGTTTCCATGTCACAGTAGGCCTATCAGAGTAAGCATGTAACAACATAAGTGCATGAAATCATGGCAAAACAAAAATACAAAGCATTTGTGCCAAGTTTTAGTGTGCACAAATGCAAAACGGGTATTAACCTAAAAATGCTGGTTTTCATAGCCTTCATACAAATCACCTGTGGTTTCCCACGAATAAATATGATTTCTCAGTATATATGATGCTTAACAGAATACAGATGATGCCTTAAAAATGGCTGATAGCTGGTGTTGAAGGAATTAAAAAATGAATGTAGCTTCTGATTCTATACTTCCCTCTTGTGCTGATATTTTTGTGAGTTTCCTGATGAAGTATCTCTCCCGAAAGATGTTTTCACTTCTCCATCTCTTTTTGTGAGAGATCCATTCAAATTTCTATGGCTTGTCAGTTTAACATTAACAGATGTTAACATACTGTTAAATTCAGGCAATGAGCAAGCTGAAATATGGTTTTATTTCCATTGTCATTGTTCAGTGCCTTTGCAGATGGTCTGACCCCAAAGTTAAATCTAAATATAGAACAATTATTATCTGAAAGTTAAATCTTGTAGCCATGTTAATATAGAGCCTGTAATTAATATCTTATATTCTAGAACAAAAAAATAACCGTATGTCCAAATGTTCATAAATCATCTTTGATTTTACCATGTTATTGCTAAACATCTGAGAGGACTGACACACAATAAGCAGTTCAGTGAATTCAGTTTTAGAATACCCAGTAAATGCATCCTTCACGCAGTAGAATTCAAGTTAATAAGTGATTTGTTCAGTCAGCCTCCTTCTAGATTAAAATAGAAAGTGACTGCCTTAAATAAAATTCTTGTGTATATTCACTGCAGTGTCAGAGATAAAAGGTATTACTGAAGGTGCCAATATACTGGGGACACTTATTACAGCTGCTTGTCACAATGTGCCTATAAATGCCCCAAATTGTGACTGAATGACACAGATGCTATATGTCTTTTTCATCCTCTTCTGTGGGAGGGCTGTCTTATCAGTGTTAGCAGATTTGAGTTCTTTGAACTGTTAGTCATCCTGGAAATTCGCTGAAAAAGTATGACTTCAAAGAAGCTTCTGTTCTGGCACATTGTTTTGTGTGTCATCTTAGGAAGTAAAAGTGGGCTGAGTTTTCAATATAGTTATCACCTATTAAGTAAGTGAAATATTTAGCTTTCAGGCTTGACTGGCAATCCAGAACACTGTCTTTCAAACTCTCACATATGCAGCTTTGCTTATGAAATCATTCCTTTGCTTTACAGATAATTTCCCTAGAAATCAATTCTCTGAATAAACAAGATGAAAATATTTACTGTAACACTAGGAACTTCAAATTTGCATACACACTTGATTTTTAATTTGGGAAAAAATAAACTCTATGAAGAAAAATGGCAGTAAAGATTAAGGAAAGAAAATTAATGAAATAAGTTGATCTATGTTTATTACTTTTTACTACATATAGTTAAGTGAATGATATATATTCCTAACTAATTTTAAGGATGGAGATATACACTATTCAGTAAAATGAAGATTAAGGAAAGGACTCACTTAGTTTAAACAATAAATTACTGCATCAAGTCTGCAGAGGGAACAATTTCTTCATGATATATGTGAAAGATGAAGGGAGATGAAGCATTTATTTGGACTATAACTTCTTTTTTTTTAAAAAAAATCTTCATTCTCCAGTAAAATGATATGCATGTGAGGCTTTCTCTAGCACTCATTACTAGAACAGAACTCTTCTGAACTTTCAGCCTACCCTAGGTTTTATATTCAAAAGGAAGAAACGTAACATTTCATATGCCTAGTACAAATAGATACCAAGATTAGGCAGGCAGCAGGAGTCTTCAAGCAGATGCCAAAAAGAATAAAGATATTAGCCTCTCAAATTACAACAAATTGGCAGGGGGAATACTTGATTTATCTTGTGAACTGCTTCAGTATTTACAGTTCTAGCAGCTGTAGTACTATGAGAGCTAAGGTCAGCTGTTTATGTTTTTCACCTTCAGCTAGAATCAGTGCTGTGTTTTTGAAAATGCTGTAATGTACATGTCACCAAGCCTAGTCCCCTTTCCAAAGATGGTAAGTGTGTAAGCTATGAGCAGTTTGATGACAGTTTAATGTCTTAACTGTCCAGGAAGTTGACTTTCAGTATACGTAATTTTTCTTCTTTATTCTTGTACATTATTTGGGGCATAAGAGTTTTCAGACCTACTTTCTGAATGGTAAGGCTGAAGAACCACTCCAATTTTTATACCAAAGCACTTGTGGTGGCCATGTCTGTGCAGAGTCCATTCATATCACTTTTAGCTGTTGTCTGAACATTTCTGAGTCATGATGCTTAACAATTTTGTATTCTGCTATCTCTAGCTCCCAGAGATGTAACTAGATAAAAATCATGGTCTTAGTTTCTCTTTTCTGGGGAAAAAAAAACCAAAAATACAAACAACCTACATGTGTGGTTTATAATGTAATTTAACCTAATACCAGTTACCAGTGAAAAAGATATGATGAAACTTCTAAAATTTAAAAAAAAAAAAAAACAAAAAACAAACAAAAAAACCCCTCTCATCTGACTTCTTCCTGTATCAGAGAAGCTACACACATGCTCTTTTTTAATGGAATTAAAATTGGAAACAATCTCTGTATGTTTATTTTAGATGTAAGGTCCATGGCATTGGCTCCTTTTGAAACGACTACCTAGTTGTCCAGATAATCACTTTTTAGGAAAGTTACGCAGAACCATTTTGTTGATAAATTCAAACTTGCCCAAATCACTGTCTGCAAGAAAGTTTTGGTTAAAAAAGCCTTGGCTTGGAATGTGTGTCAGTCAAAAAATTCAGCTCGACATGGGTGGAAATGGGGAAGAACTTAGCCATTGCTTCTGCTCCTATTTTAAGATCTGGGGTAATGTGGTCATAATAGTTGTGTAAAGGTTGACCTAATGTATTAGGGTCATCTAGACCAGGATTAACCAGATTAATTAATCTGAAGGTTAATGTGTTCAGGTGCGTGCTGTAAACATGAGGCAATTGACTTTTCATGATTTACCTCTGCCATTTTATCTTGTGTCAGCAGTCTTTTGCTGTTTTTCCTCAGTGTTTTTAGAAGGACTCAGCTTTTGTCCTGGTGTAGAACAGGAAAGCTTGAAAGCTTGAAAATATTAATGGAATGAAATAATTGTTTTCCTCTCAGCTCTTGTATGCAGTTCTTTAGTTCTGGATTATGATGGGAAACAGATTAGTAAAGTGTGATCAGTTACAGATTAGACAGAAGTTGTTTGTAAGCCTGTTGGGAGGTCAGAAGGTGTTACAAGAGGAAAAGACAAAAACATAAACAGCAGTGCAGCCCTTCTGCACATAAAAAAGGTCATGCTGTTTCCTGGTCTGAGTGGCCATCCACATCATAAACATTTGAAAATGGTGTAACATGTTGATTATCCCTAAACCTTAACTTCCCTTGACAACCCCTATTCACATTTGTATTTATATAAAAAATCTGCTTCGGGTTAGAACATTTTAGACTTCTATTTTCCATGCCATACAGTAAATAAACCTTTGCTGTCTTTTTAAGTGTCTTTTTCATTCTATCTGAAGGAGTCAGAATAAGAATAAAATCTCTGATATTACTAAATTAATTACTAATTTAATCAAATTAGTACATTTGAACTACTTTCTTAACCTAGTCAATTACCAGAATAGGTATTTTTTTTAAGTGTTTTAAGCCTCCAGGTTCAAATGTTTAATCTGATATGATTAAATGTTTAATGTCCATTTTAATGTTTTATATTTTAGGAAATTTTTGATCGTATTTTTGTTTCAGGGATAGAATATTTTGATAGGTTTTAATTTTGTAGAAATGTGCATTATTCAGATCATATAAATTGCCTAAACATTTATGGCTTTGAAAATGCAATGTTAAAGTTTATGAAATTTTCATTCTGTAATATGGCATGTAGTTGTGTCTGCTTTTAGAAAATATGAATGCTATGTACATTATTTTTGATAGTAAAATTAAAACCAAAGGTAAAACCCTGAGAGAAGCAATATTAAGAGAATCAAGGAATGTAATCATTCCTGAGATGTCTCACAAACACTGCTGCAATCTATTACTTTAGAGATGCAGTAGCTTGCATCTCGTTTAGCTTTTAAAACTGTGACTGTAGATAAATATGCTATATTTATCAAATATCTTCTATAAATATTCTGCTTCATGTGTAATAAACCACTTTATTGCATCTTATGTAACTTTCTTGTGAAACAGATGTATTGAATATAGACTAGACTATTCCAAAGGAAAACTAGTCTCTTTTGGTTTTTTTTCTTTCCCAAAGGAAGCAAACTGCATAATTTCTCTAGATGATATCTGCAGAAATTGTAGATTTTATGTATTGTATTTTATAGAGATTATCCAAGCATATTTCCTTTAGTTGAGAGCTTTGTAAGGGTAAAGATCACAAAGTCTGACTTGGGTTAGATGAAGTTCTGGCACTTCAAAGACTACTCACTGGTGAACTTAGTTTCTAAACCTTTGCTATCAAAATTTGATTCTCTCACTTTTTCTCTGTCAGAATTTTACCAATTGCTTTCCCACATGTGCCCTCATTTTTCTCTGCTTTTGTACATTTTCTATTAGCTTTTTCCTCCCCAGTATTTCTGATATAATAAAGTAGAGCCTTAAGCACTCCATAAAACACTTTTTTTTTTTTGTAAGGAAATGTCTACTTTATGAGATTATAAAAACTGTAGAAAATTACTTAGTGTTTGTCTAAGAAATATATTAAGCATTTTTGTTTATATCCAAATGTCCCTTGGCCTCTTGGCCTCCTCAGCCTGCTGTGTCTGAAAATTGGAAACAAACATTCATCATTTGAGTCTCACTCCTCGGAATGCTTATAGCCACACAGTCCACCTGACACTTTTCTCCCTTTCAGATTTTATTGACTGTTTCAACTGAATTATACCATCTGAACCTTTATCGTTTTGTTTACTTCGGTAGATGGAGAATCTCTGTCAGGCATCCACTGTTTCATCCAGAGTGCCATTTTTATTTCAGGATTTCTTCTATAGAGGTGTAATGTGTTGCTTTAAACTAAATTGACACTGAAGTTCATTTCAGTTAAACACAGAGGGAGACAAGATATCCATAGAGGAATTAATTTAAACTGATACAGTGAAATCACCACAAACTCATCTTCTATTTAAATCAGAGTGGTATTTTCCAGGAAAGTCCTCTCTGTTATCCAGCGTCAGTTGTGCTGATGTAATTGCTACTTAATTATTACACAAATGCCCTTAAAGCTCTGCATAACAAAGAACTGGAACCCAGTACTGAACACAGTACTAGGAGATTGCTTACATGAGTACATATCCCTGAGTACTCTTCCTTGCCCCTGATTTTACCTTCTTTTGCCACCTGAAAGGACTTGGGCATATGAAGGAACTAGGAAGTTAGAGGAGACAGGAGATTGCTGATCATGCATAGCAATTGTGTTGGAGTTAGAGATTTCATAAAGAAATTATAGTACACTATTTCTTTAATTGTGTTAATTATGGGGAAACAAAGAATGAAATTCTGGCATGTTGAAATGAACAACAAAATGCTTGCTCATTTTGACTAAGCCAAGATTTCACCTGAATGACTTCCTGTGAGACAGTCAAATCTATAAGTGATGACATGCTCATTAAAAAAAAAAAACTGTGGTAAGTAATAAACTTCACTATTAATTAGCTTTTAAAATAGCATATTTACCAGATCTAATAACTTTTTAATACACAGTATGCCTAGGTAGCACTTTATAGGCATCCTACCTTCTTTTCTTGTACAGTGTTTGGAACTGTTAAAGTGTAGATTCCACTTGTTGTCAGTCCAGACTTGAAAGCCTCAGCACAGTCTTTGAAGCTGATTTGCTCCTCTTTAGCTATGAAGTTGTTCTTAGCTGTTAAAAATACAACAGAAATTGAAGGCCTTAAGAAAAGATGAAAAGACGTTACTAACACGCAATTAATGATGCAATCAGCTTAAAACTTTGCAGTTCTGAAAAATAGGCCTGGTCCCAAAAGAAATGAAGGTAAAATTATATGTGTTATTACTGTATATTATTTAGAGACATTGTTTTGCTATGAGCATGGTTGCTTGATAGGTTAAAAAGTGCTAACTTTCTTAATATATGGAATAACAGAACTTAGGGTACAGTTTCTCATTCAGTTGAACAGTTTCTGTTTCCATTCATTGCCTTTGCTGGGACTCCTTCATGCATTACAACCTCTGCATGCACTAACTACTATTACAAACATATCTAGCAACTAGCAACTGATTATATTAATAATTACCTTCGGCCAGTACTCCAGTGTTGTGAAATCTAACATAAGAGTTATGAAATCTTTTCTCATACAGATGACTGGAATAACTTCACTTACACAGTTTTAGCTAGTGGTTTTGACCCTGTACTGAGCAGACACAACTTTGTATGTACCAAGCTGAAACTTGGCAGCGCAGCCCAACCCACAAAGGAGATATCCCTTCTGGAATTCATTTGTGTAAAAAATGTATTTTCATATGCCTAAGCCTTCTTATTTTACAGAACAGTCTAAGGCTCATCTTTTTGTTCAGTTCTTTATTAACTATAGAGGTTGGAATTTCCTGGCACTTTGCCTGCTGACTGATATTTCATCTTTTACTCTTTTGGGGTTGGTTCTGTGTATTTTCCCTTTTAACTTAATCTAACAAGCACAGCCTATTAGTACAAAGTTTTAGGTGCCAGATAAATACATGCTTATGTTACAATTGCTTATTATGTTCTCGAAAAAGAACTTGCTTATTCATTATTTACCTGTTTACATGCTTTGCCTTAAACATAAAAATAACACATTCAGTGTTTTAATAGCTTTTCCACACTCTATTGTTTGTATACTGTCTTAAAAGCTTTCCCTGCTAATTTTGTCTTTTTGGCAAGCATTCATTATTTTTTCAACTCTGGGTTTAACAGTGTTGTAGCCAACATGACTTTGACTTGTTTACTTATTTGTGCACTAGCATAGCAGATAAAATCAGCGGGAACATGTACAGCCTTGGTAATGGTATTTAAGGGGACAGTATCGATAATTAAGACAAAAACCTTGGGTTTTACTTTGTTTAGAAAAACCTACATCATATAATTTAGGATGCCACTGAAAGCAAAGACTCCTGAACACCCTTTTCCTTTTTTGTGATTCAACTTACAGTAACAAAGCACAGTCCATCTATACTGTTTTCTAAATTGTAATGACAGGTATTTTAAATTTTTTCTAGTATTTAATTTAAAATCTTTTTTTAGAGGTATATATGCATCTGTATTTTGAGCCCTGAGAATTTTACAGGCAAATATGCCAAATTCTTTACTGTTTTATATATAACAGCTATACGTTATTAATTTGACAAAGTTCCATATCAGACATGAAATTCAAAGTAAGGAATTCATTCGTTTAAATTCTGTTTAGCCATAACTTGCAGTTTATGGCTTGTGTGGGCTTTTTTAATGGAGCATGTGAATCTGCCTAAACTTGGAAGCTGTGCTCAGTGAATACAATTTGTTGCAGGGCTGTCAAGCATCTAAGGGTGAGATTATTGCCTACAAAATTTGCGAGGCTGAGGGATTTTTATAATGAACAGGGAAGCTTCAGTGAATGACCGAGGACTTCTGGGAGTACCTGCTGCCCTGGGCTGGGGCTTTTGTTGTTTGGGGCATACACAGGTGCTAAAAACTGAGCCAGTACTGATTCCTTTGCCCTTTATAGACACTGTAATTTGTCCTTTCTTTGATCAGCTCTGCACAGAGCAATGACAGGTGGCAGAAGCAACGCTTGGGAGCCAGGACATCATCTACAGGACAGCCCTACATCATGCAGTCTAACCTAAATATATGGTCAATATATACATGAATGAATGCCATGTGAGATGAATGATACTTGGCATCTCTGTGTTTTGTAGTACTGAAGTCTCCAGGCAAACCAATATAAACCACAGAAGATGAACAAAATGTTGAAAAGAAAACATACAGATGTTGCGGCTGTTTCCCCACGACCACCACCTCCCCGTGTGCCCCTAAAAAATAGGTTCATTAACTCAGATGCAAAATTTAAGGAAAATTATATAATTTTTGAGAAGCAGAAGTGTGGCAAAACTGGTTGTTAAGACTTTACAGTTAATAATGTACACAATTTAGGGAATGTCACTCAAATGATATAAGCATGTCTGCTTTTACTTACAGTTTGGTGTAGATATCATAGTAAGCAAGTTGTGAACAGTCTCCATCAGATCATGTTGCTGTTTTTGCAAAACTGAGTTGTTTACTGTAGCTGTAACTAACTGTTTTTCTAGTTCTTCTATAATAGAATTCTGTCTGGCTACTAGGACCTGAAGCTGATCTTTTTCATCTTTTATTGACTTCAGCTGAAGAGTGTGCTTGTCTTCCATCTCAAGAACTCTTTTTTCTAGAAAGCTAAATAAAGGATTACAGTTAGGCTCCAGAGAAACAATTCTGATATGTAAAGAGACTCAAGCCTGTTGCAGAAGTTTCTTTCTTCTTAAGTACTCAACTTCATTCTCTAATGCCATGAATGCAATAGAAAGCTAAAGAAAAGCTGAGTTTAGTTTGATACATGTGCTTTAATTTATTATATTAGTACATTCATAAACAACATCTACTATAGTCTGTTTAGCAGGCTTTTAAAGTGTAATAACTGGGTGTTTGATAATTCAACATTATGAAAGAAAAGATATAGTGGAAGATTTCATGATTTTTACCCTATTAAAAGATAGAACTTATTTAAAGATGAACCTATGAACTTTTTGAACATTCTGTAATTATAGTAAAATATAAACTTAAATAAACATTATGGTGTTAAGACATGGAAACATGCAAATAGTTGCTTGAATATGTGTAATCCATCTCCTGTTCTGGAGCTGGTATGAGTATTTGACTGGCTGGAATATTATTTCATTGGTAGTTCTTCTGATGCACGCTCTGAGAAAGCTGATGTTAAAAGATGCATGACCAGAAGGGATAGGTTTACCTAAATTCCGCTGCTGTTATCGAAAAACAAAAATCCTGAACCTCATGTTTCAAGCAGATTAGCTCAGTATTAGACTCTCTTTTGTTAGGTAAGAAATAATGCTTTTCTCTTTACGTGGGTTTTACAAGGGTAATCTAAAGTCTGCAGAGTTCAACACACAAAAAAAAAAAGTGACATTTTAAAATTCAGTGTTTACTTTGCTTTCCATTTGATAAGGATGCTTGTTTTTATTAAGCTGGTAGATAAAACTTTTAGGGAACGTACATAAATGTAGTAGAGTAGTGAACTAAAATGTCAAAACATGTCTCCTGGGTTTTTAAGCTAATTCTTTCAAAATAAAAAGCACTTTGCACATATGTTTCTCATTGAAAAACATGGCTTTGAAGAAGAAAACCTACTGTTATTGCTGCTTTTAGATTTCTCTGTAAACTATTTACTGCCAAAAGTAAAATAGGACCCTGGTGATATGAAAATGACACCAGCTGAAAAAAGGTATGAGCCTTTGGACAACAGCTGAGTACAGAAACTGGTCGGAGCAATAGTTGAATATAGGTCTGAATTTCAAAAGATTGACTAGTAAGGAATATTGAATATGAGTAGCGTTTGACTTTACTTACCAGCTTAGAAAAAAATTCTGGAGAAGACCTGATTGTGTGTTCAAATAGCTGCGTACTACTTGGAAATAAGGTTTAAAGATGTGGTTGCACTGGATTAGTTTGAGTCAGGTTATATAATGCGTAAGTCTAAAGAAGAACACAAATTGGCTACAGCTGAAGTACTGAGAAGTGTTTCAGTTTTAACCTTAAGTTCCACATACAGAGGAAAACTTTAAATAGTGAAGTATTATATATAAGCAGAAAACAAGAAGAATAAACCTGCATGATTCTCTAGGCTTTAAATAATATATGACCTTTGTAATGGGCATAGCTGGGTGTGGCGAGCTTCTATACAAGGCCTTATTTTCCTATATGAGTACATCTGTTTTTAAAACCATTAGGACACATCAGGGAATAGCATTTTATTGAGTTGATAGGCAAACTTACCTGTTCTTTTCTTGTAATTTAGTAATCTCATTGGTCTGATCTGAAATCTGTCTTTCTAGTTTGTTTGTTGAAAGAGAGTGTTCCAAAAGCTGAAGTTCAAGTCTGGTTGTCTGGTTTAATACCTAAATAAAATGTATAAAAATATTTGAAAATTAAGATTTTTTTAAAATAAATTGTAATTTCTTTGTGTTGTGAAATATCTACTTAAGCCTGTAAATAAAATAAAATAAAAAATATATTTTTAACACCTAATTTGGGAACAAATGCCCATAGGAATAGAATGAAGAAGAATACACGGAGTTGCATTGATTTTTTTTGTTACACTACCATGTATCATTGGGAATATTTCAGTAGTACACTATGTTTCTAATCAATGGCTGAAACTTGCTGTGTACTTTAGTTTTGTTGTCATTCTTTACCCTCTGATGTTCTTATTTCATTACTGGAACTATCACGGTGGCTGTTCAGGGAGTAAGTTTCTCAGTCTGGTGTAGAAAGTAAGTAATTTGCTTATCTTTCACTGGCTGAAATCTTGGCCCAGTCCTGAAATCACTAGATAGTTCACTCTTAGCTACTTTCGTTAATCCCAAATTATATTTTAAAGTGTTAATCATGTAAACCACACTTCGGTTATTTCACTCCTTGAATTTTAATGTTACCTTTTCTCTACATGTATTGTTTACTATCTTTAAATGAAGAAATGCAGACATTAGAAAACATGGAAGATACTTTCTGCTTTGTATCAGATTGCATTACTTTGAGGCATGTTTTCTAGAAATAATTTCTCATTGTTTTAGAACAGCTTTTTTTAATTCAGCAGAATTTGGCTTTCCTTGGCAGGAAGAATTGATTACTCATGTCCTTCATGTTAAACAGTCATTCAGGACATGATTTCACACTTAAGTGTAATTGTAAACTATTGCCAAAAGCAAGTGTCCTTGAGAGAGCAATTGTTTGGCTAATTTCCTTATGTTGCTAATTAAGCCCTTAACCCAGTCACCAGTAATTTCAAGCAGAGAAGGAAAGTTACAGTGATGATTTTCTTCCTCTAAGCAGAAAATAATTGAGTAATTTCCATAAAGGCATTACTGTGAATGAATAAGTACATTCTCCTAACATCTGCAAAATAATGGGCTCCTGAATAATGCAGTCAGAAAGTTTAATTCAGTACGCCTGTCAGCTATGAACTATCAGTTTATCAAGGAGTTCAGAAAGGCTTGCTTTAGGTTAAAATATGTAACTTAATTCATTGGATGAGTTCTACAGACAGTAAAATGTCTAGCAAGGAAAGACAAATCCTTTCTTTTTGTTTGTTTGAAATAATTTAGAGACTAATATGTACAGTAGGCAAGTTTATTTTGTGTGTGAATTTGCTCATCTCTCACTTTTCTAGTAGACTCCTCCTAATTCCTTTTTCTTGATTTACCTCTGATTTTTTTACTTATCCCCCTGTTAAATGACAATAATACAGTGCATTGTGCTGGAAATGAACTATTATCCTACTTAACAGTATATGTGAAAACATTCATTAAAAAAACACACAAAGAAAACTGAAAGAAAAAGAAAAATTCACCTGATAAATGGAAGAAAGGCAGGCTGAAGGAATTCTCTTTTTTCTGGTTGTGAAAGGTGCATTATCAACAAAGATATACAATGGGGGTTGTATAAAAGCACACTAGTACCCAACTGATGCTTGGATATAGTATAGTAGTTTTAAGTACATTATCCTTAAAGATGAATGGAACAATTGTCTTGTTAGACACACTTCAAATCCTCCTGGAAATTTTTTCAAGTGACAACAGTGGGCTTGAGATGGAACTATGTATTACTAATTACTAATGTTTCTTTAAGCTGGGTAGAGCTGTTGATTACAATGATTGATTTCTAACTGTTGAACTGCATAGCGTAACACTAAACTGTGTTAGAAGTGTAGTTGTGGGTGTGGGGGAAGCAGAAGCATTTTTAGTTTGAAATTCATTACTTACTTGTGCTTCAACATCTGTTAATTTGCGAGTCTGTTCAGCTGTTTGATTTAGTAAGTTTGTGCCTATTTCAATCATTACTGCAGTCTGGTTCTGCACTGCAGTTTGCTGGATCTCTACCATTTCTTTCTTCATACTGTCTTGGATGTAATTCTCAAGCTACATGGGAAAGGAAAGAGAGAAGAAGATAGTTGCATTCTTTAAATGTTGGAGGGGGGGTAGTACAGTAAGGCTGCTGGCTGCCTTGCTAAACAAATTTGTTCCTTGTATGTTATACAGTTCTGTGAAGTTTCCTCATGTTAAGCTCTGACAGGAAGGGCAAACATGACAAGGAGTGTGTGGCCACCCATTTTCTACAGGCAGGAATGAGATTTGTAGGAGGTAGGCAGAAGGTGCAGTGGTAAGAATGCTTGCAGGCACTTGGAAGCTTTCCTGCCTTAGTGCGCCCACCACTATAACCATCAGAGAAGCTTCACCAGCTTTGGCAGCGATGGGAATGTTTTAGAAGACAAAAGCTTAGGAGTTTAGTCATCTTCCTGTATCTAGACTTAAATATTTTCAAAAGCATTTTTCATCATATGACTAGAAGTCCGAGAAGAGGTCAGATGTCATTTAACACTGTTCTCTGTGCATTTTTATCAGAGAGAATTTTAAATAAAGAAACGAAACAGTAGAAAAACCTTAAGCACTTTTAAATGCTTAATATTTAGGAATGCAAAAACTGGTTTAAATACTTGATTCTGAAGTCATTTCTGTGTCTAAACTAATAAGGCTTTTTTGGTAGTCATTTTATAACAGAGTACACTGCTTTGAGATTCAGATCTGGCACAAGCTTTGAAGCACACCTACTATACTGCTGTGTAAGTAACTATGGATACTAAACTTTATTCTTCAAGGTTGGCTCCTTATTAATGAGAGAGAGATCAAAACGGTAATCTGAGCAAAGCTATCTCTGCAAATACGATTACAGAACTCCATGATTTCTTTGAAAATGTTATCACTGTCTTATTCTGAAACACACCACTAGAAAATGAGTTAATTCTGGGCTTAAAGGTAAGGTAAACATTTTATGGTAGGCTCAGGCAATTGCCCAGTTAAAACACACAGCTGTAATGTTGCTCTGATTACAGTAGACAAAACCCGTGATTACAATTTAAGGCATCTGGTAGTTCTGGTTGCCAGATTTTTGCACCCCTTGTCACTCTGCTTGCAACCTTCAAAAGCAGTTTTGTTTGGACACACGGATCTGCGTTTTCATAATTTCTCTTATTTGAATATCTGTGAGTATAAGCCTATCTCCAACTATCTAACCTCTTTCAAATGGCATCTCATTCATATGATGTATTCTAAATCACTGAAGTATTCTCTTGACTTTAGTTTAACAATTTGTCATCACATCTGTTTCTAAACTTAAAAAGATTAAATAAGTAACTTAGGGAATATGGTATTTGTGCTTACTTGAAAGCATGAAATATGAACATCAAAAGGGATTTATTTTAAGATTTAAAGCCAATTTTATGATCTGGCTCATTAATTCCAATTTAGAGCAACATGCAGCATCAAAATGATACTGACCTATAAAGTGACTTTGGAGCTTCTCAAGGCTTTTTTTCTCAAAAAAAAACCTACAGACCCTGACTACGTAAATACCTTCTGTTTTTCCCTTCATATTCACTAGTCCTCTCCCACTTTTATGCAATCTCTCATGTACACATCATAAAATCTCTTTTCCTGACCTGAATCAATATACACACTCATCCCCCTTTGCTTGTAGTTTCCTCCCTCTTCATCATACAGCGGAAAACTGTAGAAAGTAGACCTTTGTACTATTACATTTCATCATTTTTTAGGGGCAGGTGCTTATTTTCATCTCTCTTCAAAGACAAATAAAGGAATTATTTTAATCCAAAATACCCATTGTCTCCCACTGACCTTAGCAAGAGCAGAACATGTTCCCATTGCATACTTTCAGAAAGCAAGGCTCTTGGGCTTCCCTGAGAGGGAGGTGGAAGAACCTTTTCAATACAGGCTCCAGTTAAGACAACTAAGGCTAAATTTCATCAACAACACTGAGGATTAGGAGCCATTTTGAAAGGCTTCAGTTCTTTGTGGCATATTTCTTTGTAGAATACTATTTATCAGCTCCTACCGAGGAGCCTCCTTCCTTTGTAAGAAGTAGCACACTCAGAATTTCTGCAAGAGAGAGAATACCTTGGAACATTTGCAAGAAGGAATGGCACAGGAATAAAATTCTTCAGTCCCAGTCTGTGAGTTCAGAAGCTTGACAGCTTGGTCTGAACAGTATGTCTGTCTTCTCCCATATTTTGCTCAAAATTGGAAGGTGCAGCAGGGATTATTTGCCAGATTTCTCCTAGCCACATGGCTAATTAAGGCAAGTCAGCTTTTAATCTCTTTTTAATTTGATTAATAGCTGGTGTGTAAGACTTTTGTTGACAATATGTCAACCCAGATTACATTATGGTTATTTTGGACAAAGTAATTGTCAAAAAATAGTCAAAAAGCAGACTATTAGTGATGCATCTTTCAGAAATTCTGCTTTTGAGGGAGTAAGTCAATCAATCCTATCTTAAAGGAAATTGCAGGGAAGAGGTAAAGAGGTATGAATATATTCAGATTTGAAAGAAGGAATAGATAGTTAATAGCGTTTCAGTAAGTCTTCATGGGATTCTTTTCATGAAGCATTCTATTTTTTGTGTAAGACTGGCTGGCATGTGTTCTTCAAGAAAGTAAATATAAAAATGAAAACAGATGGGAAAAAAAACATGTCTCAAAATATGCTTAAATAGCAAAAACAGCTGGGAAAACTGAAAAAAAAAAATAAATTCACCATTAAGATTTGTAATATAGTTACGGTAATGCATTTTTAGAGAAAAAATTCTCTAAGGTCATCAGCTTGGGGCTGTCATGCTTTATTACTTCAAATCATACAAAATCATAAAATTTGATGAAAATACTTTAACAACATTACCAAAAGAACGAGGACAGATCAGTCATATTGGAGCACATTCCAAAACATTGCTCTTATAGCCAAGATTGTCTTTTTTTAAGCAAGCTTTAAATTGGCAAGAAAGAAAAGACAACATGTGGAGTATGCGTTAAAAGAAATTTGTTTTCTAACCATTGGCAGAGATAGTATTAATCCTTTATGAAAGGTTGCCAGTACTTATCTAAATGAAGAGCCTTCCTGACTGCTATTTTATAGTATCTATATTACAGAACAATTTTCCAAAAAATCAATAACTTAATTGGGCATTCTGGAGGCACATTATCATTCTTTCATTTAAAGTTATAAATGAGGTCTTGCTTTTGTTCTTTGTTGTCAAATGGGCTAGTACTAATTAAAGAGTCATGTTCCTGGCAGCATTTATAACTATACGAATGCATACATCCCTTCTTTGCCAAATGCTGCCTTGTATAAATGGTACAAATAGTACTGGCTGCTAGTTTCATTTTATCAAATTTGTCATTTATTGGAGCAGTCTTTCCTAATAAAGTTTGGTGATTTTCTTAATGTTTATATTACTGATTCTTTCAACTGTAACATTTCTTTTCAGAGATCAGTATGTTAATCCTGAGTTTCTACATAGTGTTGTGTCCCTTAGTAGAAGTAGGAAGGTGGCTGGAGCTGCATGATCCTTTGTATCCAAGGATTCACCATCCAACCCCTAAGATCATCAGAATCTATCAAGATCTTTTTTCCTTGAATCAAATATGGATTGCTAAACTAAGCAATTCATCACTTTCAAGGACATTATCTATAAATTTAAGAAAATTCCAAAAGCAGTGTTTAGACTTTTCTTGTCAAATGAAATCTGAAGATAATCTTTATTCTTACAACAAAGCATCCATTCTAAAATTGATAGAAGTATCAAAGAGGTCAAAGTTTATCTGCAGTCATATCTCTGTAGCCCTGTTATTTAGATCAGCAGATTCATTGCAAAAAAAATGTCATTAGCCCGATAAACTCAGCAACTGCTGTGTGTGATACACTGTATGAAGCTCAGCTGCATTTAGGTTGTTCATTCTAACAGCTGATTGCTGGATAAATGGAACGGTCATAGACCTCCATGCTCCAGCCATGTGTTCCTGCTCCCCTCCTTGCACCAGCTCTCACAATATTTTGGGACTTTTGACTAAGCCTGGAGGCACTAACTTCAAAGAAAAGAAGGGGCAATGTCCCGTCAAGTTTGTGGATTGTGGATCTGTCCTAGATGACAAAGCTGTTACTAAGATAACTGCGGCTGTCAATAGCATAGAAAAGTTACTGTAAGAAGTAACATGATTTAAAATTATATGCTAGAGTTTTAAATACACACTTTGCCCGATATTTGCCTAAGGATATTAGTGTATATGAGGGTCACTGTCTTCCTCTGATTGCACTGACAACTGATTGTTCTCCTGCCATTAATTTGAAGTTTTAGGCCCTTGATATTCTTGGCATTGGCTGTCTGATAAATATGGAATAATTTAACTAAAACCAGCTTTCTTCTTAGTTTGAATAGGGAAACCCAAAGAATATGCATTAGGTTTCCATGAGAAAGAGCTGTTTGTATACAGACTTTGTGCCTAGTAATTAGTTCACAAAGTAGTTCAAAAGAACTTGCAGAAGTATTGAAGAGGTTGTATTGCAACATGTATTGGAACGCATATTGCATGCTTAGTCATCTAATGGAGATACAGAGAAAATTGCAGGGATAATGGCATGTCTCTAGTCTTTTTCCTCTTATTTTTGTTCTGAATTTTCAAAAGTGGAGTAGATCCTGTAGAAAACCTAACAGAAAATACAACATTTACAACTAGGCACTTTTAAATATACATTAAAGCTACAGTGTTTGATATATATTAAGCTGTCAAAAGCTTTTTGAGTTACTACTCTTGCATCCCTACTGAAAATGTCCTGTGCTTTATTCAAAACATATCGTGAATTTAAGCCAAAGGCATTAAATCACCTCTTCCAATACCTTTAGTCATCATCCTGACATTTTTTTCTCTAAAATTTGTGTTTATACACAAAAGTGAGCAAGATGGAAAATGAACTTAAGCATCCATAATCAGTTTAGCTTAGTTCTAGTGACATGGCAAAACACGAAAACCGCTGATGAGTTTCATTAGTTCTTTTTCTGAATAGTTTTTCAGAG